CGTCATAGTGATAGGACCATGTGGACAACCAAGGGCGAATCAAAGGGTCGAGTTCAGTTAGGGAGGATCGTGAACGTTGAAAACTTACTATTGGCAGCCAACATCTGTGATAGCGGGGTTGTTTATTAATATTTAAATAAATAATATTCAAAAAATCGTATGGATTAGAACTAGAAGAACTAGATACACTGCTAGAACTAGAACTAGGTACGAACTTTCATTTTGGATTTAAAAAATCGTTCCATAATCTACAAAATGCCCTAATTTAGTTTTCCAATTAAAAAGGCAATACATATTAACAAAATGTCAATATTCAGTTTACAATTAAATTTAATTAAACAAACATTATTATATTAACAAAATTAAAATTATTTATGTGCTTATATGATTCCACTTTCTCGCAATCAATTTTTTGTGAATGAAAAGTGGAACCTTTTATTAATTAAATAAGTTTCGTTGAAAGATTTCTTATGACACTAAGGCCAGTTTTTCTACAAATTCATTCACCATTAATTGACTAAACTCTCAAATCAATTGATTAGAGGGAAAAAAAGAAAAGAAAAAGAAAATCAAGAAGAGGGACAAAACACCGGTTAAAATATTTCTACTTGCATTAAACCAATAAAATTGAACATATGTTATTTTATTACATTATGTGCTAAAAATCAATAAGTTTCATGATGGTAAAGTGGTCAATATGTTTAAGGAAGGTAACAAGTTTAAATCACCTTCCTTGCATTTGTTTTGGTAAAGATTGTTAAAATACAAATATTATAAAAAATATTGCTCTTAAAAAGTTTCAAACATAGGATATTCAATTCAATAATTGAAGGGCCAACCAAGCTAACAAGGATATTTATTGTTAATATGAATTATCAAATATACAATTTAAAAATTCTATCGGTTATCGAAAAAAAAAAAAAACAGAAAAAAAAGAAAGGAAAATTCTCCTAGATGAATCCAGCTAGGGCGGCCACCCTAGCTCGCCGGCCCCTAAATCCGCCTCTGGACACGATTGATGTAGAATGAAACTTGGAGAAGATATACATTTTTTAATCTCATAAAAAAAATTGAGGAAAATAATACCTCAAGAGGTGTTTTGTGTTTTAATTCGCTTATTAGTCTTCAAGTGTAAAACCTTGAAACTTATTACTATTTTAATAATATATATTGGGTGAGATTTACATGAGTTTTTATGATTAAAGGAGGAATTAATTTACCTTTCATCAAAATGTGATAACTCATGTCTTATGAGTACCTTTGGATTGATTTTACTATCTTCCTCGTCATTCTACCTTTTTGTGTTATGAAGAAGGCATCCCGTAATATACCGTGAACCCTTCAAAGAAATATCTTGAATTATATTTTGAACCTCAGGACACACGCCGAATCTAGTTCGCAAAATGCAACGTTGAACCTGAAATCTGTTTCGACAATTTTATGCAACCATTTTTGAGTGGCTATATATTTTACCTTGATGAATGATTTTTTATTCTGATAAAAGCATCATGTAGTACATTGAGAGTACTTCAGATAAATACCATGAACTCCAATCATAGATGACAACTCGAAATTAGTGTGTAAAACGGCTTGATAAAATATGAAATCTGGAATATTTAAGGTTCAACCCATTGCATGGTTGCCAAGTACTCGAAATTAGCATGCAAAACGGCTTGATGAAAGATGAAATCTGGAATATTAAAGGTTAAACCGATTACATGGTTGCCACTTGCCAACCATGCAGTGAGGCCAGCTCTTGCTTGGTTTGTTTCTTTCTCACCAAGACCATAAAAATAGCCTTTTTTTGTAACAATTTGGACTCTGTGCCCAAGCTGTTAATTAACTTACATATCGTTCGCTTTGGGAGAGCATGTGCCCATCTTATCGCTCATGGATTTCTGTTGCGTCTCCAGGATTCGAACACATAACCTCCCTATAAAAGATACTTAAGTTGAATCCTGATATTAATTGGGCAAATTGGCGAATCATTAATTGAAGGACCAGCTTGGAGGATTTCAAGTTGGGTTTGAACTTTTCAGAATATACACAGGCACAAGCAGTAGAGAGGGAAGAGAAGAGAAAAGGAAGAAGAACAAGCATTAAACAAAAAATTTAGACTTCTCGTGTCTGGGTGGTAATAAATTTGTTTCAAAGATTCTTTATTGTGTAGAATCTTCCATTTTATTATACCTTCAAGTTTGTTATTTTTGAAAGGATTAAATGGAAGCTTGATGTTAATGGCAGTTGTACAGGTGTCGCTGAATACATGCGTTCTCTTCCTATAATGAATGATTCTTCTTCATATGCATCCCTTATGATTACAGTTTAACGCAAAATATGATTACCATAAGTTAGACCAAATCTCAAATTTTCATAGTGAGTGGAATATGTTTATTTGACATTTATAATTAATGATGTGAGTGGAGCATGTCTACGTGATTTATATGATTATATGATTGACGATCATACGAATTATGATTGTTATATAGAGATATTTGTTGTATATGCCTATATGTTTTGAATTTATATCTGACTATTAACAATCTTGTACAAGAAATGGTTGTCCAAATGAAATTCCACTTTTGAAACTACAGATACCTCGGTCTATACCCCAAGAATCAAGAATTAAAGATTGTATTGGAGTCGGCTATGATTCTGAGATGGGCGATAGAGCGAATAGAATGATATAGAATATACTGAAAGTCTTGATAAGGATCAACCAGACTTGGTGTGAGCCCACAAGAAAGAAATGAAGAGTGTGCACGATCACATGTACACCATATTGGATCTTGTACAAGAAATGGTTGTCCAAATGAAATTCCACTTTTGAAACTACAGATACCTCGGTCTATACCCCAAGAATCAAGAATTAAAGATTGTATTGGAGTCAGCTATGATTCTGAGATGGGCGATAGAGCGAATAGAATGATATAGAATATACTGAGTCTTGATAAGGATCAACCAGACTTGGTGTGAGCCCACAAGAAAGAAATGAAGAGTGTGCACGATCACATGTACACCATATTGCATTACTGAATTTTGTATTCATCATTATTTTCTCTCTCCTCTTCTACTCTTCAGAAGATAAGGCATGAATAGTTGGGATATCATTATGAACTTGGGGGCCGATCAATGAAGATACTACGTATATGGACATCATGAAAGGAACCACAAATTACGCTTTTATGCATTAAGAAGAATTTTATATTTTTAAGTTTGTAATGCCAGTAAAAAAATGAGAAGGATGTTTTGAATCACTTTAAACCACCTTCTCCAAGTGTAAGAAAGAAAGGTGCAGGGAGGCAGGCACCATGACGCCATGAGTGGGCGCCATGGCCCCCAAATAGAAAGAATGGAGCAGTGATGCAGGCGCCATGGCGCCACTGTTCTATATATATTGCTGTTTTCCCCTTCATTTTTCATCAGGTTTTGAGAGAGAAAAATAGAGAAAAGCTTGGAGAGAATTTAACAAGTAAGAGGTTGTTCTTTTTGGGTAAAAATTCAAAGCTATTTTTCTTTCTTGGGGATTAACTTAAGGCTTGTTCAAGTAATCCAATCCATTGTTCTTCATATATATTGAAAAATCATTTCTTCCCCAATTTCTTATCTTTGAAGTGGTTTGGATTTTTTTTTTTTTTACATTGCAAGTTTGTTTGATCTTGGGCAATCTTTGGGAGGTGTTTTCCCAACACCAAGTATTATACTTTTCGAATGTTTGTAATGGAACTATTTTTTGTAGTACTTAAGGATTTCTTTAAATTAAGCTTAATACTGTGTTTGTACTGAATTTCTGTAAAATTGTATATGGGCGTCGACGCGACACCAGAACCTTAAAATGCAAATGGAATATTGCAATGGAGATTTTGTGTCCAAACTCCCAGCACTTCAGGATTTCTAAAGGGCTACTGGGTTTCGGTGTCAAAACCAAGAGTCCGATTATCGATTCTAAATGCAGCACACTGCGGAAATTTTTATTAATATAATCTAAATGACAAAATAAACGGAAATGAACTTGTAAGAGCTATACAAAACATGTTTGGTTGTGCATAAAAGTTACTTCTCTGATTCGGAAGTAAAATTTGTGAACTAAAAACTAGATTTTTAGCAAGCCATGACGCCATGAGTGGGCGCCATGGTGCCCGATTCAGTTCTATATATATTGCTGTTTTTTCCCTTCATTATTCAGTTCTATATATATTGCTGTTTTTTCCCTTCATTTTTCATCCGGTTTTGGGAGAGAAAAATAGAGAAAAGCTTGAAGAGAATTTAACAAGAGGTTGTTCTTCTTGGGTATAAATTCAAAGCTATTATTCTTTCTTGGGGATTAACTTGAGTCTTGTTCAAGTAATCCAATCCATTGTTCTTCATATATATTGAAAAATCATTTTTTCCCCAATTTCTTATCTTTGAAGTGGTTTGGATTTTTTTTTTTTTTACATTGCAAGTTTGTTTGATCTTGGGCAATCTTTGGGAGGTGTTTTCCCAACACCAAGTATTATACTTTTCGAATGTTTGTAATGGAACTATTTTTTGTAGTACTTAAGGATTTCTTTAAATTAAGCTTAATACTGTGTTTGTACTGAATTTCTGTAAAATTGTATATGGGCGTCGACGCGACACCAGAACCTTAAAATGCAAATGGAATATTGCAATGGAGATTTTGTGTCCAAACTCCCAGCACTTCAGGATTTCTAAAGGGCTACTGGGTTTCGGTGTCAAAACCAAGAGTCCGATTATCGATTCTAAATGCAGCACACTGCGGAAATTTTTATTAATATAATCTAAATGACAAAATAAACGGAAATGAACTTGTAAGAGCTATACAAAACATGTTTGGTTGTGCATAAAAGTTACTTCTCTGATTCGGAAGTAAAATTTGTGAACTAAAAACTAGATTTTTAGCAATATGTTCAACAAATAACTCAAAATACTTGACCTTTTGCATCTACAACAATTTCATATCATACTTCCCAGTGAAATCAACACATCACATACGACACAAATAATAATTTTTTTTATAGTCATACCAGTTTCAAACTGAAATCAACGCATGACAGACAAGAAAAAAAATATCTATTTTAAAACCACAACAGTTTCAGACTGACCTTTACAGGCAACATTTATTTTTCATCTTCAACTCCACCACCAACATTCATTGGTTCCTCTTCATCTGATTCCGATAATGCTCGTCTGCGTCCTTTGGCGCTTGACGAAGGTGCAGGCTTCACCAAAGAAAATATAAGGGAGAACAGGAATCAGAAGATGAGATAAAAAAGGATACAAACAAAGTGAAACTCTAAAATTGAAATCCCGAGTAGGATTATGAAGAAATCTGAATGATAAATGACATAAAAATGAAGATTGTGAAATGCTATTCTGGTTATTCAAAGAATGCAATGCTTGCCTACTAAAAATACCAGCAATAGATCAATGATATGCAACTCAGCAAGACATCCTCCATATATAATGACACGGGCCACGGGGTAAGGAAAATTTAGAGAGAGAGAGAGAGAGAGAGAGAGATTACGGCATTATCCTCAGCATCGGTATCTTCAAGGCCAGATGCCGCAAGAAAATCTTGAGGGTTGTTTTTGACTTGATCTTCAATGTCATTCATCTGATACTTACAGGTGGCATCTTCATGTTCCATTTCTTTCTGAGTCCCCACCGCAGCATCTGCTTCTTCTGATTCATAACGCGTCTTCTTTTCCTTCTTCCGCTTTCCCCCTTTTCTCCTCTTCTTTTCACCTTGCCCACTCTCATCTTCAGTATGCGACTTATTCTTCCGTTTTGAAGTAGATGCGTTACTCTTCCATTTTTCCTAAAGGTAAAAAAGCTTTGAACCATTTAGAAGATGCAGAAGGAAATGATAAAAAGAAAATGAGAATAAAACATTTGAAGGGATAAAAGGATGAGAACTAATGTTTAAAATTAGAAACCAATTATCATTGTGTGAAACAAGTTCTCAAAAGTCATTTGAATTTTGAAAAACCATAAGTACTCGATGTGGATGTGATTAATTGTCACTTGATGTGATGTAACAAGGGAACGAGGTAATCAATACTCGTTTTACTGGATTTTATCCAAAAACTTATAAAAGGTTACAAGAAAAAAAATGGGATTTTGGAGACGGATAATAAATTCTAGGAACTACATTTCTGATAATATTTCCGGTGAACAATCTAAATAATATTGACAAATTAAACTCTGAACCAAAATTTTTCTAAAGTAATATATGCAGTAATCAACATTATGTGAGTCGAGGTGGAGAAGCTCGAGGGGGAGAAACAAGGAGGGGCGCCTAGGCGCTGGCCGGTGCAAAATGGAGCAGAAACATGGCGCCTAGGCGCCCGAATTCAGCCTATAAATAGCTGGTTTTTCCTTTCAAGTAGATGACCCCGATTTTTGAGAGAAAATAGATAGAGCTTGGATAGAATTTAACAAGTAAGAGATTGTTTTTCTTGGGTATAAATTCAAAGCTATTCTTCTTTCTTGGGGATTAACTTGAGGCTTGTTCAAGTAATCCAAATCCATTATTCTTCATTTATATTGAAAATCATTTCTTCCCCAATTTCTTATCTTTGAAGTGGTTTGGGATTTTTCACATTGCAAGTTATCTTTCTTGGGCAATATTGGGAGTGTTTTTCTTCCCAACAATTTGGTTTCAGAGCTTCTTCTTAAATCAGGGTGGTTAAGCTCCGATTTTTGTGGGTGGCTTGAAGTTTGTTGTGTACACAAGGTGTTTGTGAAAATTCCCAAGTGAACTTTGTTGGTTTATTTCCGGTAAACAAGTAGATAAATCATCCCTACTAGATGAACGGTGAAAATTGGGAAGTATGAGATAGAGAAATTCAATGGGAAGAATAACTTCTCATATTGGAGAATGCGAATGAGAAATTTGTTAATTTTTCAAAAGTTGCACAAGGCATTGGCGGGAAAGGAGAAGAAGCACATAGATATGTCTGACGAGGATTGGGAAGATCTAGATCTTGAGGCACGAGCGTCTATCATTCTATGCCTTGAAAGAGATGGATAAAGTTGGAGGCGAACTTCATGAGGAAGACTCTAACAAATCGGATCTATTTGAAGTCCAAATTGTATACTTGCAAGATGGATAAAGGTACACCAATTCGGGAGTACGTCAACAAGTTTGATAGGTGCATAACGGACTTGAAGGACATTGATGTGAAAGTAGATGATGAGGATCAAGCACTTCTACTACTTCTTTCATTGCCAAAGTCTTACGAGAACCTAGTACAAACATTGATGCTTGTGGGTGATAAACTTGTGATGGAGGACACTAGAACGTCACTTCTAGTGGATGATCTTTGAAAGATTGCAACTAGCGGCATGTCTACCATTGGTAACAAGGCGCAAGCTCAAAGATTGTTTGTAAGAGGTAGAAGCAATGTGCGACCAAAGGGCAAGGGAGAAAAATCTAGATCGAGTTCTAGACCTCTTGCGGAAAGGCCTAGTTTCAAATGCGGCGAGCTTGGGCATTTCAAGGCAAATTGTACTAACAAAAGGAGTTGGAAGAAGAACAATAAGAACAACAACAACGAGAAGGTGCAAGTCAAGCAAGAGGTTAGCTATGCTTCGGAAGGAGGGGAAAGCGATGAGTGCTACATCATCTCTTGTGATGAAGAAATCTCCGGTAAGTGGATTCTTGACTCTGGATGCTCTTACCATATGTGTCCAAATAGGAAGTGGTTTACTATCTATAGAAGCATTGATGGTGGAACCGTGTTGATGGGTAATAACCATTCCTGTAAAACGGTGGGGCTCGGTTCAATTAGAATCAAGATGTATGATGGAGTGATTAGAACATTGATGGATGTTAGACATGTTTCTGATTTGCGGAAGAACCTTATCTCTGTTGGTACTTTAGACTCCGGTGGTTGCAAGATTGTAACATGGAATGGAGTAAAGAAGGTTGTTCGTGGTTCTTTGATTGTGATGAAGGGTATTCGTGAAGGCAATCTTATACTCTTCAGGGTACTACAGTTACAAAAGATGTAGCGGTTGGAACAAGTGGAAGTGGTGGAGACCCATGTGAGTGCACTTGGCTATGGCATAGGAGACTTGGGCATATGTCTGAAAAAGGGCTAGATCTGCTAGTCAAGAAAGGTTTGCTAAAGAACTTGAAAAATCTTTGCATGGATTTTTGCGAGCATTGCGTGTACGATAAAGCACACCGAGTTCAGTTCCAGCCAAGCAAACATAGAAGCAGAGGTATTTTAGACTATGTGCACACGGATGTATGGGGTCCGGCTTCTGTCACTTCCAAAGGCGGTTCCAAGTATTTTGTCACATTTGTTGATGATTATTCTAGATATGCTTGGATTTATTTTTTGAAGCATAAGAATGAGGTATTCGACACTTTCAAGAAGTGGAAAGCAATGGTTGAAAATAGAACATGAAAGAAATTGAAGACACTGCGATCTGATAACGGTACTGAGTATACAGATAGTGCTTTCAAGGAGTTCTGTGGTAAGGAAGGCATTGCGAGACACTGGACAGTTAGGAATACACCGCAACAGAATGGGGTCGCAGAAAGACTGAATCGCACATTTCGAGAGAAATCGATGTGTATGCGATCCTATGCTGGTTTGGGCAGAGAATGGTGGGCAGAGTCGGTTGCAAATGATTGCTACATAGTGAACCGATCTCCACATTCAAAGTTAGATGGAGATGTACCTTACAGGGTATTGATAGGAGAACATGCAAATTATGAGAAACTCAGAATATTCGGATGCACAGCCTACTATCACGTCAACGAGGGAAAGCTTGATGCGAGGGCTAAGAAGGCTATATTCTTGGGGTATGCGGCAGGTGTAAAAGGCTATCGCCTATGGTGTGTAGAGGATTCTAAGTTCATAATCAGCAGAGATGTTACTTTTGATGAGAACTCCATGATAGCTTCGTTTAAAGCTACAGTGCTAGGTGGTGATGATGTTGAGACTACAAAGTCTCAAGTTGTTGACATAGAACCTAGAGATCAACTTGGTTCTAGGCATGTTCAAGAGGAGCATCATGCAGACACTCAAGATGAGAGTGATGATGAGCTTGAACAAGAGACGGTTCAGCAAGAAAATGTACAGGCACAGCAACAACAGCAGCTTGCAGATAACTTGGGTTCCTCTAGGCCACGCCGTACTTACAAGCAAGTTCTAAAGTTGGGGTCAGACAAGATTCAAAGCAAGGTTAGTGGCTAAGGGGTTTGCACAAAGAGAGGGAGTTGACTACAATGAGATCTTTTCTCCGGTAGTCAAGCATATTTCTATTCGGGTGCTATTGAGTATTGTTGCTCATCATGATCTTGAGTTGGAACAACTCGATATCAAAACTGCCTTCTTGCACGAGGACTTGGATGAGGAAATCTATATGCATCAACCTGAGGGCTACAAGGTTGAGGATAAGGAACATTAGGTACGTCTCTTGAGAAAATCACTATATGGATTGAAACAATCTCCTCGGCAGTGGTATAAGCGATTTGACTCCTTCATGCTAAAGCATGGTTTCTCCAGAAGTGAGTATGACTGTTGTGTTTATATTCGAAAACTTCGGGAAGGTAACTATAGCTATCTTCTTTTGTATGTGGATGACATGCTTATCGCTTTGAAAAGCAAGGTGGAGATAGATAGGTTGAAATCTCAACTTGGTAAAGAGTTTGAGATGAAGGATATGGAGCTGCCAAGAAAATAATGGGTATGGAGATTAGAAGAGAGAGGACGAACCGGCGAATATTCTTGAGTCAGAAAGGCTACATTGAGCGGGTTATTGCTAGGTTCGGCATGGATCGTGTACCTTATGCTAGTGTAGTTGGCAGTTTGATATATGCCATGGTGTGTACACGCCCAGATATTTCACAAGCGGTTAGTGTGGTCAGTAGATTCATGGCGAATCCGGGGAAGGCACACTAGGAAGCTGTGAAGTGGATCCCGAGGTACTTAAAGGTACAGCGGATACGGATTTATGTTTTGGTGGAGATGCATGTCATATAAGTGGGTTTGTGGACTTGAATTATGTAGGTGATCTAGATAGACGGCGATCTACTACTGGATATGTATTTTGCATACATGGTGCCCCAATTAGTTGACGATCGATGTTACAGGCTACAGTGGCTCTTTCTACTATAGAGGCCTAGTATATAGCCATGGCAGAGGGAGTGAAGGAAGCATTGTGGTTGTGGGGTCTTCTAGATGATTTGGGGATTGAGTAGGATTGTGTGGACTTGTGGTGTGATAGCCAGAGTGCGATTCACTTGACTAAGAATCAGGTTCATCATGTTCGAACCAAGCATATCGACGTCAGGTATCATTTTGTGTGTGATGTCATAGAGGAAGGTGATATTTCTCTCTTGAAGGTACACACAAATGAGAACCCAGCAGACATGTTAACCAAAATGGTAATGGGTAGCAAGTTTCAACATTGCTTGGACTTGCTTTACATTAGTCCGTGTTGATATGCCCGAGTGGGCATGGCCCTTCGGGGCGGAGTTGAAATGAGGTGAAGAGTATATGAAGGTGGAGGTGAACTACGGAGGCTTGATCCCGAGCTTTGGGTACGTAGGCAACCATGGTTTGAATGGTGCAGCCGAGTTTTTTTTTTTTTTTTTTGGTGCTTGCTGCTTCTTCTTGTGTTCGTCCAATTTGAGGTCTATCAAATGATGTACGATGTGGAGAATTGTGAGTCGAGGTGGAGAAGCTCGAGGGGGAGAAACAAGGAGGGGCGCCTAGGCGCCCGAATTCAGCCTATAAATAGCTGGTTTTTCCCTTCAAGTAGATGACCCCGATTTTTGAGAGAAAATAGTGAGCTTGGATAGAATTTAACAAGTAAGAGGTTGTTTTTCTTGAGTATAAATTCAAAGCTATTTTTCTTTCTTGAGGATTAACTTGAGGCTTGTTCAAGTAATCCAAATCTATTGTTCTTCATTTATATTGAAAATCATTTCTTCCCCAAATTCTTATCTTTAAAGTGGTTTGGGATTTTTCACATTGCAAGTTATCTTTCTTGGGCAATCTTGGGAGTGTTGTTCTTCCCAACACATTAGAAGTGGCATCTCAAGGAAAAGACTACTAGTCCCTGTACAAAAAATTTTGAGGTCAAGAGAACATGTGTAGGAAAATGCTTGATCAAGAAAAGAAGTGCTACTCAAGAAATGCCCAACTTTGAACCTGGAATGAACACACACGAGAGTTGAAAAAAAAAAAAAAAAAAAAATATTTCACTATTACCTTGATGCGCTCTAAATGTTCCTCTTGTTGCATAATTTGCTTCAGTTCATCCTCTTGTTTCTTTTTCTCCAACTGCTTTGCATTTTGTGTGAGTAAATGTAAAGCAACAAAATTTTTACAGCATCAAGAAATTCACAGATAATGACCTGTAATTTTCTCTGCTCTTCTGCCTTTCTCAGAGATTCATCGGCAAGTTCCATCTGGCGCCAAACCTTTATTCTTTCCTGATTTTGCTGCTCTACATGCTCAGCAACCTCACAATGAACTTTTGCAACATGAAGCAAGTGTTGGGAATACCGAACATGAGTTCTTATTTTCTTCTTATTAAATCCATGACAACGAAGGTCTGAACCTGCAGTCAGAAAGCTGAACAAACGAACAGCATTCTTAAGCTCTGTTATGGTTGCTTGCACCTACATCATCAGGAAAAGTTTCATAATCAGAGAGAGAGAGAGAGAGAGAGAGAGAGAGAGAGAGAGTCTCAAAAAGGGAAAAGGAAATGCTTGCAAGGGTAATTTAGATGCTATATTGAATTTCATGTAACCTAATAAATAATAGCAACCATAGCAGGAAGAAATTTTATCCCTTTGCTCTTGGAAGTATGAAAAGCAACACTTAAAGAAATAATATGATGCATACATCATCGTTGAAGTAGTTCTTAAGAAAATGTAAAACAAAATATTACTGCCTTACTGTTCATATGATTCAAAATAAAAACAAATCAAGCTAAAAGATATGAACCTCATCCACACTTTTTTTTGTCTTTTGAAGAGTCGAAGAGGAGAACTTCTGCACTGCAACTCCTACATTAAATCTAAATGTGTAATTTGAAGGGGACAAGTGGATGGCTCTTAGCAAGGACATTTTGCAGTCTTTCCATTGTTCAGCTTCATAATGTGTACGTGCTATGTAGAGAAGCAACTCACTCTCAGTGTTATAATAGAATCTCTGCAAACAGTTTTGGTACTGCAGAACGTACAGATTTCAAAATGCACACGAAATTAAGATAGGTTATATTCATCTGAGAAATGATTAGAAAGAAAACACAAACAAACCAGTTTCACAGCCAATGCAAAATTGCCTTGAGCGAAGTGAACATGCGCCAGATTGATCCAGATATCTGGCATCTGGACATTAGAACTTCCACTTGCAGCTTCTTGAACCTGCATCGGTAGAGCATATAAAGACACTCAAAACAAGTGTAAAACCTCTCTAAACCATGAAGAACACATAACAAGTTTATCATACCTGTGTAAATAGATCCTTAGCCACATCAAAATGACCTCTTTCAGCAAATACCATTCCAGCACCATTTGCTGCATAGAGGTTATCAGAATGCTGTAATAGAACCTGGTACATGAAGTATTTTAGTTGCATATCCAGAGAAACTTTAGCATGGGCTTAAAAATGAAATGCAGAAATACATAATGATGAAAAATCCAACCACGCCACCGATGCAAGTATAAGGCAATCTAGGAGAACTTCTCCAGTTATATTATAAGCTAAACATCGCTAACAAGTCCAACATTATCGTATGCACTGGAGTTCAAAAAAAGAAGAAATTGGGAGAAGGACTAGCTATTCAACATAGTGGTTTCCAAGATAACGTGACATACTTCAGTGTAGAGTCCTTTTGCCTTCTGATGATGCATGGTTTCAAACTTGCTGTCTTTTTTCTCATTGCGATATGCAGCTTCGAAGTTCCAATTTCCCTTGCAGATATCAAAGGAAGTGCATAAGTTTCACAAATTTTATTAGAAGCAACAGTGACTATATAGACTTCGGTAGATACATGACAGAACTCATTTTTCTTTAGATCTACACAGCATGAAGGTTTAATATGAAAATAGCGGAAACACACTTTCAACAGGTTGGGGATATATTTTTTTATTGCTAATAAATTATCAAAAGATCTTAACAGTGGAAGAATACTTAATTTGGCACACACCAGACAAACTGTAGCATAAGAATCTCGCAAATCATTTGCCTCCTTGGCGGTCAGGAATATATCTTTTGCCCTGACCCAGTAGTCACTCTTGAGCTTCAAGTCACCAAGCATTAACAAAGCATCTGGGCACTTTTCATCCACCTTGAGAGCATCACCAATCTAAGACCAAAATCATCTTCGCATGAACAAAAGCATAAAGACATAAACATGTATGAGAAAATGAAGAATAACTTAGTAAGAATTTTAGAAGGGATACAAAAACCAGTTTCAAACTAAGTTGAATATTATTTTGAGCTCTCGCGATGGCAGCAAGCCTCAGGTAAGCATCTGTGTAGTCCGGATACTGAAAATAATAGCGAAAGTCATAAGATATTCCAAGGAGAAAAACATACGAAATTCAGAATCAAATCTAGAAGAGTACACGGAGTTATATCTTTCAATCAGGGGGTAATACATCACAATGAAAATAGGGGGGAGAATATCACAAATTCAAAATCATAAAAGAAATATTTCAATAATATAGTAACTGATTGGTAATTTTTGCAGTATGATTTACCAATAAGAATGAAAGCATAATTGCATCTTCATGACATTTAAACGAAATAACTTGTAGGAAAACTTAGTGATACTTCTTACTTACGTATCTATAGGAAAAGAACGAATTCTAAATCATCTCATTTACCTTCATGCCACTAATATTTTGCCAATAATATCTATCGACAACGGCACATACCTTAAATAATATTAGATGGTATAAAATGCTAGCTGCTTCACTGTCATGCATCTTCTCCAATACTCTGGCTAAGTTAAATAGTGATGAAACTTTATCCCAAGGAAGCTCTACAGAAGTACCCTGTTCCTCCAATCGATGAAATAGTCGCAACTCCATGTGCTGACGGAGAGATGAGCTGACACCAGTTGGATATTGTGCTCTGTTAAATAAATTAGATTGTACCTCAATTTTAAAACTGGATTGTGTTTTAACATCAACGAAGTTACTCCACATGCCATCTCCCAGAGCTTCCATAAACATTTCACGAGCAAGCTGGTAATTAAACCGGGAATTACGGTTACTCTTGCTAAAATTTACCAGCTTCGAATTGTATCAATTCAAGGGGTTATCTTATAGACAATTAAATACCTCAAACTCTCCCCTTTCAAAATGGAGAACCCCAATATTGTTCAGAAGCTCTATTGGCACTTCCTCATTCCCCATTTTCAGAAGATTATGAGCCTGTGCAAAACAACAAAATTACAGCAATAGGAGGAAGCACTGACGTGCAGTGGTTGAAAACTCTCCGAGAAGAAGAAGCTAAAGTAAATTATATCAGCAACCTTTTGCAACCCTCCCATCAATGGAAAACGATCAGAGAAATGTCTAATGCAGTTTCTGAGAGTGAGGTGGAAATAAGGCAAGAGAATTTCTTTTAAAGCAGACACTTCAGTGCTTCATATTGTATTTGGCAAACATAGAAAGATTCTGTAATTACTTGGAATCTTGATTAGAAACTAATTTTTTCAATCTCACTTGCAGCAGTGACAACATGATACCAGTATTAAATGTTTATGGTACAAGAGAGACAGAGTGTATGATTAAATAAATCAAAATCAGGGTGTAAGCGAAAAGATTTACTCAGAATTCCAGACGTTTTACTAATTGGAAATTGACAAAAATATATTAACCCCTTGTTTGACAACCATCATTTTTGAAAAACAATGTTTTTAATAGTGATTTTTAGGAGAATGAGCGGTTAAAAAGTAGAAAAAAAAAATTGGGTTTATGTGTAGAATATTTTATTGTGTGAACGGGTGGTTGAAAATGAATACGTAGAAAAGTGAGTTTGAAAATAATGGTTGTCAAACAGGGCTACATGTTGGAAAGTCCTTACAGTTTCAAAGGCATCTAAAGCAGCACATTCGTCTGTTGAAATTAGCAGCTCCCCCAGATCCAGAAATGCCTGCAAGATGCATGTCTTGTTAGGATATTGTAGGAATTTAGTTTCCTTCTTAAGGATAGATTTTTCCATCTCTTTTATTAGGATTACAGTATCATGGTTTTGTACTTTAATTTTTAGTATCTTTGTAATTTATTTTGACGTAGTAATATGACTCCTCCTGTGTAACAGGTGTGCATAGAGGTTGAAGAAATCATCACCAACTTTAAATATCTAGAATTTGCTAGACTAAGCATGTAGAATATTCCAGAGACTCATTACTTGTTGGAAATGAAGACCACTACCATTCATGAAAAATCTAGAGAATAGAATTGTGAAGACAATGGTAGAAATCTCTAGAAAAATGTAGGTAGTAAATTCCACCTTCATATTTTGCCTATATATATGTGTGTGTTGATTGAATGTATGTGTGTGAATGATGAGAGGAAGTGTAAAAAAAGAGTGTAGAGAAAGAGAGTGGAAAAGAGAGACATAGTGAGGTGTTCTAGTGTGTTTAGTTAGTGTCTTTGGTGTGTGTCTAATATTGTGTAAAACTTTATTTCATCAATAAAAATTATTTTCTTTCGGTGTTTAAACTCAACAAATTGGTATCAAAGCAAGGCGGTCGGGACAGGATTTTTTGAGCTTCAAGAGTTTGTAAAGCTTTTATAAAGCTTGCTTGATTATGAGGAGGTAAATCAAGTCACGATGGGCGACCTACAAGTGGTAGGCGGTGTAAAGAAGCTCAATAAACAGAATTACACTACATCGAAAACTTGTATGGAGTCGTATCTTCAAGGGCGAGACTGTGGGAGGTAGTCGGCGAAAGTAACGTAACGCCGCCAGAGGAGGCCGGAGCTCTGAAGAAATGGAGAATCAAAGCGGGTAAGACTTTGTTCATTTTAAAGACAACAATTGAGGAAGAATTGTTGGAACACATAAGAGATAAGAACACACCAAAAGAAGCATGAGACACGTTGGCCTCACTATTTTCGAAGAAAAATGATCCGAGGTTGCAATTGTTGGAGAACGAGCTGCTCTCGATTATTCAAGGGAAATTAACAGTAAGTCAATATTTTACTAAAGTTAAATATGTTTGTCGTGAAATTTCTGAGTTAGACATTTCAAGTAAGATTTCGGAGTCTCAAATGAGGAGAATAATCATACATGGTCTGAGACCCGAATTTCGAGGTTTTATTGCTACAATTCAAGGTTGGCCAGAACAACCTTCATTGGTCAATCTTGAGAATTTGTTGTCTGATCAAGAAGCATTAACCAGACAAATGTTAGGAGCGTCGATAAAGAAAGAAGATGAAGAAGCATTATTTAGCTACAAAAAAAGAGGCCAATTTCGTTAACAAAATTATAAAAAATTAAAAGAAAATAAATTTGAAGGACGAATTGAAGGAAGCTACCAAACAAGGGGAGCTCAACAAAGTTGTAACAAGAGAGATCAGCCGTTCAAGAGATTTGAACAAAATAATGGCTCGTGTTTCATATGTGGCAAATAAGGCCATTATGCTAGAGATTGTTGGTTTAAAAAGGGCCAGCAAAAGGCAATATAGGAACCTCCAACGAGCAAGAGAAGTATAATAGTGAAGAAGAATGGGATGAGAAGCAACCACAGCAACAATTGAGAAGGCTCAAGAAAAGAAATTTAATCCAAGTTTAAAGAATGAATCAGCATTGGTGGTAGTCTTGCTTGATCAATTAGATTCCGATGATTGGGTTAATGAGTTAGAAGATGATGACTCAGAAGAAGATTGGATTGATGACTCAAAAGAGGACATCGAGGTTCAGGAAGAGTCTTCATGGTAGACTCCACAGAGAGAGGAACTATCAAACTCAGAATTAGAAGAAGTGCTTGAAGAAATGCAGACACGCAGAGGGTGACTCTGCTAGAGCAGATACCACAGAGGATAGATCTGCTGGATCAAACACTGTAGAGGGTGGAGCAGACACCGAAGAGGGTGGAGCTACTAGATTTGAAGGAAACAAAAGACAAATTGTTAGAGAAAATTGTGGAAGCACAACGAAGTCCCGAGAAATCCAAAGATATAAAGATATCGAGTGATAAAGAAGAGTTGATTAGCGTGATACAGAGTTATTCACAAAATGGCGTTAATTGGGAAATACAAGTAAATGATCAACAACTACAAGAAGAAATTGAGAAAAGCCTAGAAGAGCAAAATATATTTGACGCAGCAAATGCTTTAAGTGAAGAACTGAGTGCTTCGAAATTTGTCAAGGCAAAGTTGGACGAGAAGAAGAAGAAAAAGGTTAAAATAAAAATTTGGTGTTGAAGGGGAGAATTGAAGAAATCATCACCAACTTTAAATATCTAGAATTTGCTAGACTAAGCATGTAAAATATTCTAGAGACTCATTACCTGTTGGAAATGAAGACCACTACCCTTCATGAAAAATCTAGAGAATAGAATTGTGAAGACAATGGTAGAAATCTCTAGAAAAATGTAGGTAGTAAACTCCACCATATTTTGCCTCTATATATGTGTGTGTCAATTGAATGTATGTGTGTGTATGATGAGAGAAAGTGTAAAAAAAGAGTGTAGAGAAAGAGAGTGGAAAAGAGAGACATAGTGAGGTGTTCTAGTGTGTTTAGTTAGTGTCTTTGNAGAGTGTAGAGAAAGAGAGTGGAAAAGAGAGACATAGTGAGGTGTTCTAGTGTGTTTAGTTAGTGTCTTTGGTGTGTGTCCAATATTGTGTAAAACTTTATTTCATCAATAAAAATTATTTTCTTTCGGTGTTTAAACTCAACAGAGGTCAAATAACGATAAAAACTAAATTTTGGGAAGGGACCATGTTATTTTTTTCTTTCCATTTTTGGCTTGGAAAATTATTTTATGATTTAAATTAGAAATAAAAATTTTTCCTGTTACATACAAATCCTGTTCTAGCTATATAGGTATCCAACTTAAATTATTTCAAAGTCCCAATCCTGATCTAATTATTGATGTCAAGATACTGTCATTTTCATTTCAGATTAAGCTTCTTAATTAAGACAAAGGAACATGATCTCAATATAACTAGTAATGTAGAATGATGCATTCTAAAGGTTGATCCAAATAAAATTCTCATTTCTTAGGGTTGGGCATTCTTCTTACCAATGTATACAAACACTTTGGAACATCCAATATTATAATTATAGAGTATGAATGAAGCCCTTGTAAATGAATCGGGATCCTGATGCATATAAATACAAATGATCCAATGGGATCAAGAATTTTCAAGAACATTAGGAAAATTTCTTTTATGAGCAGAAAAGCGGTTAGCAATTAGTTTTCAATCAATTACGTATTAATCAATATTCGATTGATTGGTCTGAGGTTCGGGGGATTGGATGCAGGTCTCTCCATTCATTAAATACAGAATATCATGACAATTTTGTGATTCGCTGCTGAACTTATTCTAATTCGAAGAGCTTGGATTAATCAGTATGAATGAACCTTAATAATATTTGCTAATCTATAAAAACATATATGCAGCATTCAAATAGATGAAAGTTAATATTAAATAAATAGAAGAAATAAAACATAAAACCAGAAACCTAGTATGTTTTTAACATAAATATTGCATCTCTTAGAAGTTATAATAACCAACCAAATGCAAACTCAAAAGCATCTAAGATCATTTTTATTAGCACTTGAAAGAAAATCCAATGGAAATGAAGGACACAATTCATGAATAGCCGTTAATATGACGAAGCAATTATGTTTTCCTAATAGATGAGGTTAAGTGGCTCGACTAAATTACAGATTACTATTCTACACAATTGTGAAAAGATCACCATCACCTTATACTTTGATTAAATATTCATATTAGATAGAAATTGTTTCAATTTGATCGAGTACTTATTTCCCGTAAATATAAATTTCTTATATTGTACACCTATATACAAGTTATAATATTATTCTCTGTGTTCCGAAAAATAGATTTGATTCTATTTTCACATTAATTAAGAAAATATAATTAATATAGTTAAAAATATCAATTTGATATAGATTTTTCCTAATCATTCTTATATTAAATAATGATTAAAATAGGAGTAATTTATATTTGTAAATAACAAGGCAAGTTAAATAGGCGCATTTTAGAAAACTAAGAAATCAACTATACTCTCAACAAAGAAAGTAGTCTATAATTTGGAATGTATGAAAAAGGAAAACAAGTTCATCTTTATGAGATGGAGGGAGTATCATGAAACTAGAGAACAAACATAATAATTACCTCAGGATCTTGAGGATTGACTTTGGTAGCTTTCTTCAGAAGTTGTTGGGCCCTTTCCTTTTGCTCAAGTTGAACATATATGTTTCCAAGAGCCTAAATGAAGGAAATGAACTTCTTAGTTTTTTCAAGTTCAAATAAATGCAGAAAACTCTCAAACTAGATGACAGTCTTGAAATGGTTACTTGCCCACCTTCAATGTCTCATAATTTTCAGGCTGCACCTCCAGGACTTTCTGGAAATTTGATGAGGCATTTATCAGGTCTCCCATTTTCATCTGAATTTGCCCCAAACCTGTTTCAAGCAAGCACAACTAATCAATATACTGGTTCTGAGTGAGAGAAATTAAACAGAATACAATTTCCAGAAAAATGCTCCATAACTTATTGCTTACTTTATATATGATGTATTTACTATATGGGCGAGAACGTTGGCTATACTCATTATAGAATAATATTTGCAGAGAAAATTAATGTACTATCATTATGATTTTTATCGGAGGATAGGACACAAAATCCTTGAGCGGCAACTCTTAGGGCCATTTTCTCAAAGTACAGTTAGGAGTAGGGGTGTCAACGAGCCGAAACTCAAGGCTCGGACTCGGCTCGAGTAAAATTAAGTCANATTTTCTCAAAGTACAGTTAGGAGTAGGGGTGTCAACGAGCCGAAACTCAAGGCTCGGACTCGGCTCGAGTAAAATTAAGTCAACCTCTTTTTAACCTGAGCCAAGCCGAGTTGAGCAAAGCAAAAGCTAGGTTGAAAAATTGAGGCTCGACCTGAGTTTTCGGCTCAGGGCCTTATCAAGCTGTGTCGAGCCGAGCCAGCTTGGTTTTTTTATTTTTATTGTTATTTTTTTCCCCTTGCATATAGGTAGCACAACTGCCTTTAAATTAGGCAACTGCACGCTCCTTGGTCTTCTTCTTTTTTTTTTCCAAGTCGACCTGATGAGACACACAAGCCGACTTGAACTCGGCCCAACACCCCAAGATAGGGTTCGGCCCAAGCCTCTAGCTAGGCCGACGGGCCAATTTGCCATCCCTAGATAGGAGTGGTCTTGCAAATATTAATTCATAGATCAATTTCAATTTCTACAATAGCATGATAATGCAAGTCTCAGAAGTATAGTTTGAAACTTCTACAAGGAACAATTCAGCAATTGGTTGCCCTTTCATCAAAGATAAATCTCCTTCTTACCTTAGGACATGACAAAATAAAAATGATTTAAATCTTACTCCTTCCATCCCATTTATATAGGCCGGTTTTATTTTTCACATGGCTTTAGAAATCTTGTTTAATGTTATTGAAAAACAACTTTTGCCAAAAACTTTCCTAATCTACCCTAATTTATATTTGTACAATTTCAAGATTAAGTGGAAAAAATTGATTATAACTAGACAAATTAAATGAGGGTATATTATAAAACGAACAAAAAATATTTCAATAAAGAAACATGATTACAAAATTGGGAAAAAAATAAGGAAAGTCAGCCTATATAAATGGAACGGAGGAAATAAGTATGCAAAAGCTCAGAGAGGGTTATATCAGATGTGCAATAAGTTGCAGAGTGTGGATGCAATGTGTATTTGACCCTCCATATTCAGGAACTAAGTCTATTCAAACATGGTAAATTAATAGAGGCGACGTAACATTTATTCAAATATCTGGGAAGATCGTAAAATGAATCTCTCTCATAGTGCTTTGTAACGATGACTTTTGTTGCATGTGCATTGGGGATAATATGTTCACTAACAATGTCAGAAAGCTGAAGGCCACCAATTTAATTGATTCATAGGGCATTTTATGGAAAGAATTAAGCTTTATTGTCAAATGAATTTGACATCTTTGTTGACACAAGAACGTGTAAGAAATGATTGGACGACACCGAGTCCAATGAAATTCTACCAATTGGCATTTCTGTCATCCTAGATGTCATCCAAGATATAGCATGATTGTTATGGAAAATACCACAAGTTGTTATCGTCGTCCGTTTAGAGAACATAACCTACATGGTTTACTTATTTATTGTAATCCTTTTGTCCCTTCTTATACATCCCATGCTCGTCCAAACCGAGATTGCACAAAACAAAAGCATATTTCACATATTGCTTCATCTGGCATTATGTAGAAAATGCCATAGTTTAACTATCACCAATCTAATTTTTGGGCATGAGAGTTGTTATCACTTCTCTCAAAACCTATAGCAAATGGCAATAATACAATCCTCCCCAAATCGCGCAGCACTTCCTAGCCATTGTCGTTTCAAGCATACTTTTGCATTATCTACCTATCCATGGGAATGCACCAACATCTAGTAGAACATGGGACCTCCAGTTTTGATACCAACCAAAGCGTATAAAGGTGGGAAAGAACAATAATGCGTGATCATGAACTGTTGATTCATGCATGAATATCATTTGGATCGAAATTGGAGAAGAATTCTCACAATTTTAATATTTATTAATCGAATAAAAGCCAATCTCCATGAACCATCAGCCGCTCACTTATAACGCCGAAACCTAATTGCAACTAAAATAAAAATTACACTCAAGTCCTTCATCTTCTAAGATTTGTCAATAATCTATAATATATTAAATATCACATCAAGTGAGAATAATTTTTTGGACGATTTTAACCATTCTACAATTCAATTATTTTAATAATACCTTACTTTTCATTTTTCAACATATAATAAACACTACAAAATCCATGTCATTGAATTTCGTGTTATTAATTCTCAATTAATTAACAATCACATTAATCTAAACTCAGTGAATCTTAAGTTGATGAATCTTGACCTGCATGAATATGGGGTTATTAGAGATGAAATTATTTCTATTGAAGTGTCTAAAAGTTTTAATGGGTGTTTAATTTCATGTATTAGTAGTTAATTCATATGTACTAAATCTGGTATAAAATGGTTACTCATTTGTAGAATTTCATTATCACATAATAATAATAATAATAATAATAATAATAATAATAATAATAATAATAATTGAATCATAGAAGTTGAATTCTGAGAATTCAGTTTTCTTCTCTTAAATGTCTATCCTAAATTCTATTTTCTTTCGTTTGTTTGAGACTCATCAAATTCTCATACAAATTGATATCAAATATTATTGTTATAGCACTTATAAAATATTTCAAAATAATATGCAATGCACATACAACTCTAACTAGTAGAAGATAAAAGTAACTTAAAAAATTCAAGCTAATGAAAACATCAACTTTTAAAGACATATTGATCATATCAATAAAGTGGCCAATTTTCTGCTCAAATGATTTGTTCAAGGATTCGTCACAATATTGCAAATTTCTTCCACTTCCTTGAAACATTAACAAGTTTCTCAAATGAAGACTTAATCCCTTATAAACTAAGATATTTGCAATATTGTGACGAATCCTTGAACAAATCATTTGAGCAAAAAATTGGTCACTTTATTGATATGAGCAATACGTCTTTATTTGAAGGGTGGAGAAAAAATCAAAATCATTTGGTTCTCTAACCTTAGAGTCCGAGTATCTAGATAAAAAAATAAAATAAAAATTCTCAATCTTAAAACATTTTCTTGATGTTTTTCAATCTTTGAATAGGTTGGAGTCATCAGTCATCATTGCCACCAAAATGTGCCATTTGATTTACCACAATCATATGGATAATGTCGGTAAGAACAACTCCTCAAGCATACGCCTTCACCTTGTTTTGCTATTAGACCAGTTGACCATGCCAAAATAGCTCCATTGAACATCAAAATTCTTTAGTCTATAAAAGGGGTCTCTTGATACTCAAGTACTTCAGGTCCAAAGATGTGAATGCAGTTATATCTTGTGCCAAATCAGAAATTTTTTTCCGTATAACATTTGCATATTATCTAGAGAACATTTGAATAACTCATACTTTCTTGTTTCTTGAACATGTGGACCGTGAATTTCTCTTCCATTTTGTTGTTCAAGTAGATCAAACCAATTCTGATCTCGATGTTGAACTTCTCATCAAAATGGTGGACCATTGTAATCTTCACCTAAATCAACATCCATTCGTCATTCAAGATTGAAAGGGACAAAAGGACCATCATCATCGTTGAAGTCCTCTTTCCATAGAGATGCCATCCACGCTCACAATTCTGTCGTGTTGATCAATATCATCGCCTCCCCCTTGCCATCTGCCTCCCAAGGCATCCAACAATACACATTGTTGTGCCTTAAATAAGTCCATTTGTTTCTTTAGCAAATCATTTCTTTAGTAGATTTGTGTCATCCAAGGGGGATTCATGAACACCAACCCTTCTCTATCAAGAATGTGGTTGTGCTCTAATAAACTAATGTAGGGAATTGTCAACACATTGTCCAAAAGCTATAGCTCATAACACTAATGCAATCTACCTTATCACTCAGAGTCTAGCATAGGAATCCACCCCAAAATCAACTCTCATGGGCTACCCCAATTTCATGCATGTTTTCGTATTAGTAACCAAGGAAAACCTTGATGACTTGGTTTTTTGCCACATCTAACTTAAACCACTCAACAGGGTAGTTAGAGAAAATACTCACAGTAACGTTTATACATAAAAAATGTATATCAATACAATAAGACCTTCTCACATTAGTTTTTGGAGCTTCATTTTAAGCTGTCAAATTTGGTGCTTCTCTGTATAAAGAGGGATAAAAGCACCAACAAGTATGCTCTTAATTGATTTTTCAAAAAATAAAGTTTGTTATTTTGATAAATAAGTAACTAAAATATTCTTATCTTAGGTATCTTAGATGGAATCAATTACCACCCCCAAAAAAATTAAAAATAAAAAATAAAAATTCTCCCACAAGGCTTAGCTTGTTATTTTATATGTTTTGGAACATATCTTGTTTTTAGTGCTTATCTCAACAAACCCACTAAGTAGTAACTAACTATATCATGCAATTTACTTCAACAAGAATTAAAAGGTTAATACACTATTGATGATGATGAAGATGAAGAAAGAAAATAAGGTACCAATGTATGTTCAATAGTAGTATTAATTCGTGATTAATCTGAGCAATAGGCAAAATATAATTATACAAATTGTTACTCATTTACTTATTTATATGAAGAATTGAAATATCTTTACAAATCTAACCATTATAAATTATATAACTGCCATAAAATTAGTAAGGCAAATTTGAAATAGTACAGTTATCTTACAGATAATGTGATTCTACAATACTTTTACTGGTTGAAGTTAAATTATTCAACAGTTGGTGGAAAAGGTTGCTCGACAGCTGAACCACTGATCATTGATCTTGTCATACATCTATGCCATGTTTTTCTACGGATGATAACGATTAGGAAAAGACTTTCTACGCACCATAGTAAGGCAAGACATATTCATGGGGCTTGTTGATTTCTTGGACAGATGCTAGATAGTACATTCCTGCCTTTTCATAGTCTCCCTGAAATCAAACGAAAAGTTAAATCTATTATCAAAGTAGATGAAGGGCCAAAAATGCATAACTATAAGCATGATCATATATCAAGTCAACATGGTGCATAAACAGCAGCTGAAGAATCCAATAATCGACAAAATAGAAGAAAGGCAAGAAAACCATTAACTTTATTTGTTAAGCAGGAGAGTAACGGAAAATAATTTTGACAGACCAAATAATTGAGAAAAAAGTGCACAAGTTCTGGATGCAAACATGGATGATGATATCAACCTTGCTATGGTAAGATCGGGCTAAATTGTAGAAAGAATGTGACTTTGTTGGGCCATGAGTTGTCGCTGATAGTGCTGTTTCAGTTAGTTGCTCAACTAGGAAATGCTGACCAGTGAAGAAGAAATGATTAGCCAGATAATTCAGTGACATAGCGCAGTAAGGATATATCTCGAAAGCTCTCTGCATCTTTTCCATTCCACTCCTAATACCATTAGCTGTAATGATATATGGCATAAGATAAAAAGTAAGATTTTCATAAAAATTGGAGTAAATGAATTCCATAAACTCATAATATTTAGCACCTGTTTGACGACTATTAAAACTAAACTTTTTTTTTTCCAAACTCATTTTCTATCACTCATTCTCACAATAAAATATTTTTCACATAAATCCAAAATTTTTTCCGACTATTTAACTACGCATTCTCCAAGAAATCACTATTCCAAAACTCATTGTCCTAAAAAAAAAAATAAACAAATAAAATACTCATTTTAATGGTTGTCAAACACATGCTTAAAATGATCATCAAGCATCTAGACCGTAAAAACCCCAAACAAAAATGGAAACCAAGTATGGCAAGTTGTTTGAGTAAGCTAGATCAGGCCGACATAACTCATACCTAAAATATACACTCAAGGACTCTATATATTTATAGCATGCATGCGTTTTTAGCAAAAATGAACCTTCATTAGTTTGCAAATCTGAAATTCCAAGTGCCACAAGAGCCTCAACATTTTCTGGATCTAACTGCAGTTATAAATTGTCAATACATGAGCCTAGGTCAGCAATACGTTGAGCAAAATGTGTCGTCAGCAGCGACTTGCCTGTAAAACACGATGGAATGCTTGTTTGGCCTTTTCAAGATGACCCAATTTGTAGTGACTTAGTGCTATGCCAAGTCTTACAGCTGCAGGACACTGAGGATACACTTGCAAGGCCCTCTAACCAAAATATAATTCAAGAAACAAAAACATAAAAACAGGATCATAACTCAAGGTAAAAGAGTAGAAAACTATAAATTGTTCATGAGAGGAAATGCTCCACTTAGCAGCATATTCAAAGCAAGAGATTGGAAACTTTGGTTTATAAAAGTGAAATAGGCAAACCTTATGCAACTCCAATGAATCTGAATATTGACCACGACTAAAATAGACACAGGCCTGCAGATAAGTGGAAGATAGTAAAATGCACTGATTTAATTCTTAAAAAAGGTTCAGACAGTGTTATCAAGGACTTTTCCTGAGACTAATATAGCCAATCCTGGAATGCAAGAAAATGATATCCGAAAATTAGAATCTCAATCCGACAAAAATCAAGCTTAAACCGCAAAATAATAGGCGGGGAGAGAGAGTGCAGGAAAGAAGGGACGATGAGAAAATTCTTCTCGACTTATATTTCCAATCCTCTCATTAATAAGTATGGTATGAAAATTTTAAACATACAAAAGCACCCCTAAATAAGATAAATACATCATTTGCATGCAGGTAAATGGTAAGTAATCAATATCCCCATTAAACTCACTTCCTATTTCCCTTCTATGAACACAAGCAAATGAAATGAAATATTCTTCGGACTAAGTGATGGATATGAAAATATAAAATGAAAGAAATCCGATTTAATTAATAATGATAAGTGATTTTTCAAAAGTAGAATATGAATATACCAGACCGAGAAGAGCAGGAACATTATTACCATCTCCATCCAGAACAATATTGAAAGCATTAAATGCCTGATCAATATCGCCTTTGGCTAGTAAAAGCTGACCTGTGAAAGAGAATGTGCAGAAGCATTAATGCTAAACAAACCATTAGCTGCTAAAAGGAAAAATCGTCATCTTCTAGAAGTGTCTCGAGCCTTATTATTCACTAATAGGGTGCCAAAATATTTTTGGGGGCGAAGCTGTCCTTACAGCTTCTTATCTAATTAATAGGATGCCTAATAGAATTTTGAAATTTTTGATGCCTCTAGATTTTTTGAAAAATAATTTTCCTACTACTAGATTATTTTCGAATATGCTTCCATTGTTGGTGTTAGGGTGTATAGCTTATGTTCATATCCATAGTGCATTTTGGAGTAAATTAGATTCTAAAAAAAAAAAAAATAATAATAATAATAATAATAATAATAAATTTGCATTTTTTTGGACTATTACCCTACCCAAAAAGGGTATAAATGTTATGATCCTGTATCAAGGAAAATAATTGTGAGTTTTGATGTCACTGAAACGAATTATTTTCTTACCAAAAATCATCTTCAAGGAGAGATTTTAGTAACAGATCATTTTAGGGACCTTCAATCAGAAAGTGTAGAATTGTCTTTGTCACAGTCACCACCTATTTTGCCCAATGTCATAATAGATTCAGGTTTTACACATACTGACCAGCATCAGGTGTCTTCCAATGGGTGTGATAAACTCACAGATTGTTCCCAACAAGTTACGGAACAAGTAATTCAAAAGAAGCATCATACTGAGAAAATACATCTACATACTCACCACAGCCATGCCTTGAATCAAATCCGAGCACTACAAAACTGGTAGGTTCAGTTGACGTCTCTTCCTTTAATGATTTCGCACCTCTTGATCTACCTATTGCACTTCATAAACATCTCGTTCTTGTAATCGTTATCCTATTTCAAAGTATGTGTCTTATCAACATTTATCATCTTCCTTTCAAGCATTTACCTCCATTCTTTCTAGTGTAGAGATTCCTAAAAATGCGCAGGAAGCTCTAGGAGTTTCAAAGTGTAAACAAGCTGTTCTAGAGGAAATGAGAGTTTGGGAAGAATGGGACCAGGCAATTGGTACATTTACCAAAAGGAAAGACTCCAGTAGGTTGTAAGTGGGTATTTACTATAAAGTTTGAAACTAATGGAAAAATTGACAGGCACGTAGCAAGACTTGTGGCTAAAGGATATACACAAACATATGGTTTGGATTATAAAGAGACATTTGCTCCAGTAGCAAAGATGACTACTTTATGAGTGTTGATTTCTCTAGCTGCTAAGTATGGGTGGACTCTTCATCAACAACTAGATGTTAAAAATGTCTTTTTAAATGGTGATTTGGCTGAGGAAATTTATATGAAGTTACCACCAGGTTTTGAAGAATCTCTTGGAAGAGATAAGGTGTGTAGACTTCACAAATCTTTATATAGTCTTAAGCAATCATCTCGAGCCTGGCTTAATCGATTTTCAAACTCGATTCAAAAAGCAGGTTATTCTCAAAGTCAAGCTGATCATACACTTGTTTAGAAATTCGGTTGGAGGCAAAGTAACTATATTCATTGTTTATGCTGATGATATAATCATAACGAGTGATGATGAACCTGAAATTGTAGGTCTTAAAAGGGCTCTTTCTAAGGAGTTTAAAATTAAAGACCTCGGAGTTTTAAAGTATTTCTTGGTATGGAATTCGCTCAATCAACTAAAGAGATTGTCATTTCTCAAAGAAAGTACACCTTAGACCTCCTCAAGGAGGTTAGCATGCTAGGTTGCAAGCTATGCGAAATTCCCATGGGTCCAAATAAAAAACATAGGCTAACAGAAGATAGTGAGTCCATAGACTAGAAGAGGTACCAAAATTGGTCGGAAAGTTGATTTATTTGTCTCATACACGGTTGGTATTGCTTACTCGGCAAGTGTAATAAATCAATTTATGCATTCACCAAAAATAGAATATTTGCATACAGTTAATAACAGTAAGATATTTGAAACTTAACCCTGAGCATGGTTTGTTATTTAAAAAGAATGAAAATCTATGTGTTGAAGTTTTTACAGATTCCGACTGGACTGGATCAATCAATGATAAAAGGTCTACTTCGGGGTATTGCACTTTTATAGGTGGTAATTTGGTGACATGGCGTAGTAAAAAAATAGAGTAGAAATAGTGCACAAGTTGAATTTAGGGCAGTTACACCAGGAATGTGTGAGTTACTGCAGGTAAAAACTTCTTGAAGATTTTGAAGATAAAAATCGAAGATCCAATGAAGTTATACACTAATAATAAAGCAGCAATTGGCATAGCTTATAATCCAGTACAACATGATCGAACTAAATCTGACATTAAATACTGATCAGATAGCTAGGATGGTAAATCTTGAAATTGGGGGAAAAACATTAGAAGCTAATTTGTATCTGACAAATATGAAAGACTTTGATATGATTTTGGGCATGGATTGGTTGGGATGTAATTATGCAACAATTCATTGTACAGAAAGAAAAGTGTCTTTTTGAAAACCACAAGAAAAACAATTTTCTTTCCACGGAATAAAGATCAAACCCCATCGCCAACTAGTATTGGTCCTGCAAGTCGAGAAAATATTGAGGAAAAAAACATATCAAGGGTTTCTAGTTAACATCTCAGGAGAAAATCAACAAAGGATCAGCTTGTAACATGTTTATTAAGGGATTACCGAAACAAGTGTTTGAATCATTTTGTTCCAAGCTTGTTTAATTGATATCTACAACCAGCTTGAGGAAGTATATTGAAAGTTAACAGTATTGCCTATCTTCTAAGGTTGTTTCCACATTATCTTAAGTTTGTTTCACTTGAGTTAATCCTCCTAGGAATCCTAGATAAGCTGTTATCTAGTATAATTGAATTGTTTTAACTATAGCCTAATATAGTTTCTGTATTTACTTATTTAAAGGCTAGGAGCTTGTATATTTTAGGGTTCTTGTTTTTCTACAGAGAGCATCTTTAAATTTAAACACTACAACAAAGTTTGCTTTTTACAGCATACATTGTATGCCGTAAATAATTTTACGGTGTACAGTCATATGCCGTAAAAAGTGAGATGCTTTTTAGGGTGTGCATGGTACGCCGTACAAGGAACGCCGTTAATCATTTTACGGCATAGAAAAATAAGATCGGAATTCTCCACTTCTGTTACCTTGTAAAATTTGTTTGTAGATAAACCCTCGTGTCATGATTAACGAAAAAAAAAAAAAAGAGGCATGGGGAAATATGCAACTCCAATAAAATTTTATAAAAACAACAAACAATTACCTTGAAATAATGGAGAAGAAGGTTCCCAGATCAAACAATTGAGAGCTGGTTTGCTCGACATTGAGAGAGAGAAGGAGAGAAATTGAGAGGGAACAAGAGTTATATGCCTCCATCTTCCCTAAGTCCATAAAGTTTGGCTATTGGGTTGGCAGGTGTAATTTTATTTTGTTTTGGGCTCCGGCTATTACTTCTTGTGTGGGCTGTGTTTTGGGCATGGGTTGTTACGGCGTACACAATGCACGTTGTAAAAAATAACCCTTTTATGGCACGTCCAAATACGCCATAATTATTGACTATTTATGGAGTGTCTTAAATGTATGCCGTAAATACTTTAAACAATTAAATTTTTACGGCACACATTTGTAGAACGCCGTAAAAGGACACCTTTCACGACGTGCATTTTTATGCACGCCATAAATGTATGCCGTTAAAAACTACTTTTGTTGTAGTTAAAGAGTAACTCTAACTAAATCTTTTACTTTTTGCTTTCAGAACATAATCTCAAGATTTGACTCTTGTAAAATAAAGAGTTTCTTGCAGATGATTTAAGAATGAATCTTTGAAGTTATATAAAGCAGCATTATAGCATCATTTCCAAAAAAGAGTTCTTTGGCTTTGTGTATTGACTTTAAAAAAACTTCTCACAACCTCGAGAACAATGTGTGATAGAACAAAAGATATGCAAGCCTCTATGATAGTCATGGTAAACCTATATAACTGCCCAATTACAAAACATGCATACCTTTCCCAATCCATGTTGAAGGCTCACGTGTGTCAATTTTTGAAGCCTTGTTATAGTAGTGTGAAGCTGTAATGAAATGCTCTTCCTTCTCTCCTTGTTTTGTCTCTATTTTTCCAAGATAGCTATAATACGCTCCCAATGCATTTAAAATGGCAATCCTCTCATATCTCACGTCCGCAAAATTTTCATCAACTTCTGCACAACAATAACCTACGTCAAAATTTAATAGAATTCCTTTTTATCATGTGAAAGGAATGCAAACATTAAGAATATGTACCTGGACTAGACCCGTCTTTCAATATTTGTAGAAATTGTTCAAGTTTTCCTTGTTTGAAGTACTCCCTCTGCACCCAAAATGAGAGATCCATAAAAATGAAAACAAATAAATTCAATATGCACCAGTCGCCAACCCACATCTATATTAAATGCATAACCAACACTCAGACTTGGCACATAAATAATACTACAAGCAGCATAGTTTAGTTTCCTGAGTCATTGTATGTATGACATGGAAAACCTCTCAAAAGATAAGAAGTGGTTTTAAACCGCAGCCAGAAATTCGTCGAACTCCACTAAACAAGGAAATTACTTAAATACACAAGCACACATGCACTGCTTTTTTCTCCAATTTTTTCTGGAAATTAATGCTTGTCTTTTCTTCAAGAAGAAAAAACAAATAGTGACTCAAACACTGATTCTCTTGGATTCTCATTAAGTAATGCCAAATGCACCAATTTCCAATCCTATAACTAAATCAACTTGATAAGCGTGTTATGAAGAATATTTTTCACAACACAGCATACATGTAAATATAAACAAGAATAATCACTTACATAAGATATTCATGTAAACACATATAACCCATCAAGGACACAGAAAATCAATTCAAAAATCTGACTTAATCTTAACAAGCTTGTATTAGCATGACACTAAATATACAAACCCCCTGCATCACCAAAAGCATTAAATTTTGTACAATAGAAATGTTTTTTTTTTCCGCAAATTAAAAATGTTTATTAAAACACTTCATACAAATATAAATCTAAAGTGAACACGCAAAAAAATTCCCATCTCAATAAAACTAAGTTATTCACAAATTCTCATGTATGTAAGTGGGTGTAAATGAACACCTAAACACACACACACACATGCACACATGTATAAATGAACATACAGCGATGGTAAGCCAGAGATTGAGCGGAGCTTGCTCGGCCTTCAGAATGTCAATGATGTCAGTGGCATCAAGGGGTAACTGGTCTAGTGCCACCTGCACCACCTCTTCCGAGCTCTTCACTGGTATGTATAAGCACGCCATTCCTCTATCAGTTATTGATTGTTCAATTCAATCTGAATTTTTAGATCCCTAATTGAAAGACAAAATGTGATAATTCAATTGACAAAACCCTAGTACTCGAATTTATGCACCTATATGACAACTGTTATTTCTATTTCTGCATGTGTCTCTTCTTTCTGCATGTGCCACTTGTTTGGAGCGCTTGTCATGTAAATGTTGTGGAGTGGGTCGGCCCATGGTCTTAGGCCTTTTAAAGTTTTTTCCCCCTTTTAAGACATTGTCAAAAATATATTGTTTGGCGCTTTCTTGCTATAATCTTCTCCTTCTTCAGCAGTGGCGAGTTAGGATTTTACACGTAGGGTGTGAAAAATATTGGGATGGTGAATATATATGTTTTATGTATATATTCAAAAAAGTTTTTTTATTTTATTTTATAAATTCAGTATAAATCAACAAAATTTTAAGAACTGGAGCAAGATGGTGTATGTTGCTCCATCATTGTACTCCAGTAAGTCAAAACTAGTTTAAAAACTAAGCTTCATCACAATAAAGATGTTCTAACTATATCTAAATATCTTTTATATTCTTTACTCTTTATCTTGACGTTCAATCAAATTGTGTTTTCGTGTAAAATTTAGTCTATCTCATTAAATTCTAAATATTACATCCTTGCTGTATTTAGTGAGTTTTTTAATCATATAAAGGGATTTTCATCCTTGTTTTGAAAATACGAGTGTGACTTAGTGAGGGTTTATATTGTTATTTCATTAATATTTAATTTAACTTTTAATTATAAAAACAATCTAATTTAGGATAAAAATAAAACAATGTTACTTGAAATACAAAGAGAGAGACATTCAATAAATATTATAATTTATAACAATAAAGCTAGTTGTACAAATATGGTTGTCAATCTTAGTTAACAATCATGTGTTGTCAAAATGAAAGCTGTACCGGAATTGATTTTCAATTGATGGATTTCATGTTCAGTTTAAACTCACCAACAACAAACAAAATCAAATTATAATCAACTCCAACCCATGCCTATATTTTACTTCTGTTGCTCAACTCAATATATCCACAAAGAACACAATAGGATGGCTACAATATGTAACCAAGAGAGAGGAAGACAAGTTTGATTTCCAACTCAAAGAGAGAAAAAACATGTGCCTCTTTTATTATTGCGCACACACACGGCTTCTTTCAACAATGAGGCCATATATAGATTTAGGGTGTAATTTAAGTGAGCTATAATAGTGGGCTCATGGACCAAAAAATGGTAAAGGGGGCGGAACATAAAAGAGAGCCATGTGAGCAACATTAACTTAATTAAGTTGCATCCAATACCCCCAAGTTATTTTTCGGGTTGAGTCAATTGATTGATGTGTTGATAATAATTTCTCTCATCGATCGAGACCTGTGAAACTGAATTCAAGCCGTTTAACATCATCGCCCAGGTTTTATCAGGTATCAAAACACAACTCGAGCCTTTGGTGTAAAAAACAATTTTTAAAATGGATGAATGTGATAATACCAATTAGGATGTTGTCCACCAATATTGTCAACAATGACTGTACATATAACATAACTCAATTTAAAACTAACATTTCCCAAAATTAAATATTTATAATAGAATCAATTATAAAGTTTTTCATATTTCCCTAGTCATATACTCACTGAACATCAGTCACGTACCTAATACACATTCGTCCCATTGCCGGAGAGTTATCATCTACCTCAAATCCATGCATTGTCACACCTATAATGTAAAACATTATGAACAAATTCTCAGCAAGTAATGATATGTATGATCAAATATATGTACATGATCTACAATACTCAAAATCAATATGATTTCATAATCGAAGTTCATGCATTGCTTCCCAATTTTAGCTTAGTGTTTTTAATCTGTGGGCTAGAATTCCATTGTGATGTACTCGTGTGAACTCAGATATCAATATGGATAAGTGTTGGAATTAATTGAATTTAATTGGGTTTAAAACATTAAATGCAATATTTAATGATGTGGGCCATTGCAATTAATTTGGGTGAATTGGAAAAGTCTCCAATATAGGCCCATATATTGATAAGCCCATTTTAAGTGTTTTATATATGGAAAGGAATCCCACATCGAAAGTTTACAAGAAAATAGTCTTGTTTATATAGTGGGTTGTGTGAATAATATATAATTTAATAAGTTATCTACCACTTGACTAACTTTAGCTAGCGAAAGGCTAGCAAACTAGCCAAAGCCTAGCCTAGTCACCACTAGAGTGGTGCTTTGCACCACTTTCGCCGCTCCCTGGACCCGGTCTCGACAAGCGCACGTCACAAAGTACGTATTGGGCGCTTTAGAGGCGCACTTGGGGAGCCTTCTAGTTTTCGGAAAAGGACTCGTGGTTCGATGGTGTGGCAGCGCAAAGCTCGGTGAGTTGGCATTCTAGGTGGCACACGCGTGGTAGGTCTCGTCCCTTCGTTCTGCGTGGCGGTTAGATGTACGCGTGGCATCCTCATGGCTGTGACTGTTCAGAAATTGGTTAATAGACATGATGAATGGACGCTTCACTTCATGATTCAATCTGGGCTGTCAGATCATGAAAATAGTGCGATCCAATCGCTAATACAAATCAGACCAAGTGGTGCACCAGTTCCTGAAATATCACACACCTGTTCCATGAGACACTTCAATCTCTATAAATAGAGACCCCCATATTCGTTTTGAAAAACACAAAAAATCAATTACGAATTCAATTGATTTCTAAATTCTTCTCTCTCCATATTCTGCTCTAAAAATTCTCTTATATTTTCATGGTTATTCCGTTCAAGTACGATCATTCATTGGTTCGACCGACAAGGTTGGTATTATGCAGTATCGACTTTGGAAGGAGCGTTGTATCTTGAGAGACAGACGTTCATAATCCCGTTTGCACTTCATTGGGGGGCGAAATCTGTTTTAAGGAGATTTGTTTTGGCATACCTCGCTTCATCTACTGTTTTCTATTTTTCTGCTTATTTTATTTGTTCTTTTGATTGCGTTAGTCGAATTACCAACAAAAATCTGGGATGCCAACTTTGTGAGTTTATTCCGGTCGAATCTTTTGGAGTTTTGGGGAGATTTTGGATGTCAATTAAAGAGGACATTGTGGGCTTTCCAACGGTGTCAAAATTTGGCTATTTTGGTGGTCGGAAGTTGTCAAAAAATCGCCGTAAAAGTCCACCAAAAATCTGAAAATTTGGACAGATTTTTGCCTTTTCGGGTAGCCAACTTTGTAGGTTTATTCCGGCCAAATCCTTTGGAATTTAGGGGAGATTTTTTGTTGTAATTGAATAGGACATTGTAGGCTTTCCAAAAGTATCAAAATTCGGTGGTATCGGTGGTCGGAAGTGGTCGAAAAATTGCTGCAAAAGTAGCTCAAAAATTTTTAAACTTCAGTGACCATTTTTGAAAGCATCCCAATACTTAAGTGACCGTTACTGATAGTTTTAAATTTCAGTGACCGTTTTGTAATTTTTCTATAAGTTCAATGACCGTTTGTGAAATTAATCCTTTTTTTCCTTCTCTATAAATGTGCAAAAAAGTAAAGAAGAGCACGGGCAGACCCACATTGGGTCATGTGGGGCAAATGACCCCACAAAATTTTGCCTTTTTTTTTTTTTACAATCTATTTAGATGCACTCGTCGGGATGTCAAATGAAGTCAAAATATTGCATTCTTAATACCATTTCAAAGTACTCATGGCCTAATTTTTCACTCATTAATGACATGCGAAATGGTCAATTATAACAAAAGTTTTGACATGTTAAAGTAAGTTGTTTGAAACTAATATTTTGAGAGTTTCAATAATATCCTAACTTTAAAAATTCGTTTGCAATCATGTGCTATCTGAATCCACAAATCGTCTATACCATATAAAAGTTTGTTTCGAAAACTACATCATTTTCATATCGAATGGTCCAAATGGATATCGAAAATAGTTAAATATGTATCAAACGTACGCCTTAAAAAAGACGTCTAACTCGTTTTTTCTTTTAAAAAATTCAATTAATTATTATTTTTTCACAATAAATTTTTCAATATAATTTATATCGTTTCATTCGGAAGTCTTACATGAAATATGACGTAAATTTTTTAGGATTGTTATGGATTAAATACAATTTGAATTACTTTCGAATTATATATGTTTGCTTTAAATTTGAATTTCATTTACTTCCTGAACTAAACTTGAATTTTATTTCAATTTATTTAATTTATATATTCAATTTAATTTACTCAATGTTAGCTCAGTATTTACCAACGAAATGATAAACAAAACTATACAAGTAGCAAAATTTATTTAATAATATTAATAATGATGAAATTATACGGCGTTTTCAAAGTGTCAAAATACATATAAACTTATTTTTATTGATATTATGTTGTTTATTAAAAGTATTGTTTTTAAAATTTTGACCCCACAATACTAGACGTTTGGGTCCACCTCTGAAGAAGAGGTCTTTTTTTTTTTGACAAACCTTGATTTTGATCTGCAACCGTTTGAACATAAAGCCCATATTTATACATATAACGAATGGACATATCTCCTTTATGTAAAAAAGCATCACAACTTACATGTGAAAGACTATTCAAGTAGAATTAATTATTAAAAGAAACACAAACAGTTTTCAAACAAAATACATGCAAAAAAATTTTCTACAGATGAGAAATCTTATATTTTATGACACTCGACAATTTTACGTACCATAGTTAACTTACTGATATTATTACATAGATAAACAAGAACTTAAAAATGCTTTATCATTTGCAAGAATTGAAATATGCCCAATTTTATAAACTTTTGCAAGAATTGCCATTTTTGGGATAAAATGTCATTTACATCATTTTCTGTCCATTCGTCTAATGCAAATATGTTAAGAGGAAATTGGAAATAATGTCCAATTATAAGGAAATGCACAACTTTTTGAACTTTTTGAGATGAGAAGAGTAGCTTCTAAGAAGCAATATGCAAATTCATGCTGTTATCCACACAATTCAATACCCATCCATTAACGAAAGTTACAAGTTATCTTTCATTTT